GTCTGACACAGGACTGAGTGTCCTTACAGTGGCAGGCATCCTGCAGGGATGCAATTGTGCACTGTGACTTTAAACATTCAGAGAATGCAGACATCCATAGAATCTCCAGAGCTCTCTGTGTTAGGTAAGAAGGGTTTACACATCTACCTACATGGTGGACATTCTGCTAGATGCTAATGTCTCGGACATTTCAAGCCATGTCTTTTTACAAAACATCCACTCTACCCAGAGTTGCCCATATCTGTACCCATCACCCATTCTTCCTGCCTCTGCTAAATTACGCACCTCTCTCATCAGTTGGTTCTTAAAAGTTTTCCCTATGCAAACACGGATGAATGCAGGGAAATTATATTTGTACATTCAGTCCATTGTGTTCTATATAATGTCAGTCATTATTCTATCTGACATGGATTGCAGACTGATGTGCTTAAAATTAATGAGCCATTTGTTCTCACACTGTGAAAAATAAAAATGAAGAACTCCCCCAGTCACTACTATGAATTATGAAGACAAATGAATACAGATCAATTTTATTTTGGGAGGACAGTGCTATGATTCACACTCCCCTTCAAGAGACATCTAACATTTTATTTGTATGAGAGAGTTGTAATGACTGAATGATAAATGCAACATAAATTAGAAGTATATGATGTGGTTTTTCAGCAAGGCTAGAATGAAGTGCAAGGCATTCAGTGCTGATCTGCCATGCAACCCATTCATTGGTAAAGTGCTTGATGTACCAGAAGGTCTAGAATTCAATGCCTGCGATTGATTATTTGATTTCTATACCACTTAATATATTAAAAAGCAGTTTACAAAAAATATATTCTCTAAGTGGTGTACAAAAAATGGTAGCAACATCAGATAACTTAAACAAAATATTACAAAAATACATATAAAAATGCTACATTAATACAAATTTACTAATAGATATAAACACATACCAATTCCTTTTCCTTCTGACACACACTCCTTCTCAGCCTCCAGGTTTTCACCCACAGTTCAAACAAACTCTCAGCTCACCCAAGAATTATAGGTAATCTAAATCTCGATGGCCATCAGAATTCAAGAACACTGTTAAAGGTAAAGGGACCCCTGACCGTTAGGTCCAGTCGTGACCGACTCTGGGGTTGCGGCACTCATCTCGCTTTATTGGCCGAGGGAGCCGGCGTTCAGCTTCCGGGTCATGTGGCCAGCATGACTAAGCTGCTTCTGGCGAGCCAGAGCAATGCACGGAAACGCTGTTTACCTTCCCACCGGAGTGGTACCTATTTATCTACTTGCACTTTGACGTGCTTTCGAACTGCTAGGTTGGCAGGAGCAGGGACCGAGCAATGGGAGCTCACCCCATCACGGGGATTCGAACCGCCGACCTTCTGATCGGCAAGTCCTAGGCTCTGTGGTTTAACCCACAGCACCACCCGCGTCCCATGAAGAACACTGTTGCTTTTTATTAATGTTGAAAGCAATGGTCCGTATAACTGCAGTGTTAATTTAAGATTATTTAGTTTAGTTGACTTCTTATACTTATTAATTTTGGTTCATCATCTTTTGCTTTAGACCAAAGTAGCAATTTGGTGGATTTCATGTGGGTAAATGGAGTCACATGGGTATAATTAATATGTCCTCCTATCTGTAATGCAATCTTAAAGCTTTAAGGAACTTTTGTAATTAGTAAAAGGGATTAGTACTAATGAGGTTTATCTTAATGGATTAGACGGAACCTAAGGATTAGATACGTTTAGTTCTGTTCCAGGGGATCTGACCCATTTTGCAGGTTGACTCTGGAGGTTACAGAGAGCGTTTGCGTACAGTTCCCATGGTGTTTGTAGCTGCAATAATTTGGCAGAGAACGCCTGACCTGAGTCTGCTTCAAGTCAGGAAGGGTGCAACAACACAGTGCCTGGGAGCATGCATTCAATAAAGTGTATTTGAATTAGCTTATTTGCTAAAGTTAATTTGGGGAACACTTCACAGACAGCCTAGAACATGGGCAGGCAAACTAAGGCCTTCTAAATCCGGCCCGCGGACGGTCTGGGAATCAGCGTGTTTTTACATGAGTAGAATGTATCCTTTTATATAAAATGCATCTCTTTGTTATTTGTGGGACCTGCCTGTTTTTTTTTTTTTTTTTACATGAGTAGAATGTTTGCTTTTATTTAAAATGCATCTCTGGGTTATTTGTGGGGCATAGGAATTCATTCATCCCCCCCCCCATAGTCCAGGCCCCCACAAGGTCTGAGGGACAGTGGACCGGCCTCCTGCTGAAAAAGTTTGCTGACCCCTGGCCTAGAATTCTCAGAGCCAATGACATCAACTTTGATAATCATGATAATAGGTTGCATGTCCTGTCTCCATCCTTTGTGAGGTGACAGTTGTGCCATGGTGCTGCCCTGCTGCCATTGTCAGGCTCCTCAGGTGGAGTCTCAATGGCCAGTGGGAGATGTCATGTTCTCTTTTGCAGGTCAAGGGGATTTGAATTTGGCTCACCTGAAAATTGGCCAATCACAGGCGGGCCTGGAGGCAGGGCAGAGCTAACTGCAACTCAGGCTGGAGTCTTCACTCAGGTCTGCTCCCCAGGCTTCAATTAGGCCTGCCTCCTCACCCAGCATTGTGGTGACCTTTGGATTTTCCACCCACCCTCCCTTGTTGCATGGCTAGCACCCACCCAACGGAGGGGGTAGTGTCCTTAGTATGGCCTTTCTATGGAACTATCAGTTGCTGTATTCAAGGCCAGGGTGGAATTTCTCATTCAGACTAATTGGGCTTGTCTGGATCCCACCCCCCACCTCATAGCAATCATCACAACTTTGGTAAATAAGGCACTGAGTAAGAGAGCCAGTGTGGTGTAGTGGTTAAGAGTGGTAGACTTGTAATCTGATGAACCGGGTTCGCTTCCTCGCTCTTCCACATGCAGCTGCTGGGTGACCTTGGGCCAGTCACACTTCTTTGAAGTCTCTCAGCCTCACTCACCTCACAGAGTGTTTGTTGTGGGGGAAGAAGGGAAAGGAGATTGTTAGCTGCTTTGAGACTCTTTCGGGTAGTGATAAAGTGGGATATCAAATCCAAACTCTTCTTCTTCATCATCTTTAGTCAAGGACAGAAGGGGGCAGTTAAAGTCTTATCCTCCAAGGAAATGGGGTATCCAGTTAAAGGAATCCTAGGGCGAGGCGCTTCTGTCCATATGCCCAGGAGAAGGCTAAGGGCCATAGCACTCCCCAAGGTGCTGATCCTGTCATGGTTTGATACCTGTCATAGGTCAACCCTATATCAGGATTGATCCCCCAGAAAATCTTCCAGCAGGTGGGCTGGTTAATACAGGAGACCCTCAATGCCTAAGCCAAAACTTACATCTGTCATCAAAAAAGTTGTGGCCTAATTAGAACCAAAGTGACATTGTACTGTGGTCCTTTCAGTTTCTACATATACAGCATCAAAGGGGTATTGGGCACACAGCATCTGGGCATGCAATTCCTGATTTATTAGGCTCACATTTAAACCTGGTCACATGGTTGATCCCTTCCGTATCTGCAGCTACAGAAGATAATGGTTTGATCAAAGATTCACTTTTTCTGAAGGAAGGGGTGTTCCTCTGATGGAAGGAATTCTTTCATTGATGGAAGACCATTATCTGCTGTCCTAAAAGAAATAGCCAGTCTACCCAGGTTAGGTCTATTGATAAAGTGACCCTTTAATGATGGAGAAAAACTTGTATATCTCTACTGCCCAGAGAATGGCTAGATTTAGTATTTTTAAAAGCATATCCTCAAGCTACCTTAGTTTTCCATCATTTTTTATTATCATTATCCCTTATACTAGCAACACTTGAAAGAGAATAGAGATCAAGTATTTGTAATGGTCTCATGGTGACCTGTTAGGAGTCTTTGATTTAAAAATCTACCACCTATAATGGCAACAATGAGCATTTTAAGACTGAGCTAACCACCTGAAAAAATCCCAAAGATGGTTGGGTGAGTCTTTCCGTTGTGAGTTCAGATTTGATCGCTTCCTTCATAAAAGAAGAATGCATTATTGGCAGGATGCTCAAAAGAGAGAGTATTGATTTGAGAGCATAATTCTTTAAATCCTTTAGCAAAAAAAATAAATTGTAGAAAGCCTAAAGAAGAATAGATTTCATGTCTTTCAAATGAGATGAAGGAAAGGGAAATACTGTTAAGGAAACTAATGATTTTGTTATAGCTTCACTTCAAGAGATCTCCAGGGGTCCTGCAGCAGTTCACCTACTACAGAATGAGATACTGAAGAAGTTCTGAAGCAGTTGCCTGAACATTGAAGTCTGGTCCATATGCTTGATTTTCCAAAGGCTTGGATAAAGATAACCTTTTTGCCCCCGAATGTAAGATCCACTCCTTCCATACCCTGATCTCTTGAACTGACAAGTCACTGACAGAAGTGACTCTGGATCTTCATTGATTTTATTGATTTATTAAATTCCTTCCAAAGGAGCTCAGGATGGCAAACACCAGGCATTGGCAAACTCGGCCCTCCAGATGTTTTGAGACTACAATTCCCATCATCCCTGACCACTGCTCCTGTTAGCTAGAGATGATGGGAGTTGTAGTCCCAAAACATCTGGAGGGCTGAGTTTGCTTATGCCTGGCAAACTCTGTTGTGATAAAAAATACCATTGAAAATAAAATAAAAACTAAGTTAAAACATTTAAAAGTTATTTAAAGTACCCCAAGCAACAAAACACAATAAAACTTAGGTAATAAATTTAAAAACAGATGTAAGCAAATCAGATTCTATAAACAAAATGGGAGGGAGCATTATCTTATCCTTTGCCTACTTTCACATTACAATCTGGAGCATACCAGCATTGGGGGCATGTACGTTGGTGGTGGTAGGTGGTAGGGTGTCTGAAAAAGGCTGCAGCAGAATGCTTCCTCTGTGGATGCATGTTCTGGTCTCACATTTCCTTGGTACATGACATGGCACACTAGTCTGGGAATTACCGTTCTATCAACTCAATGGGCAAACACTTCTGAGTGGCAAGTGTAGGCGGTAATATCGATGTTGGCCTCAGAAGGTTTTTTTTTTCCTGTTGAAAGAATTAAATGAACATTGAGGATTACCATAATTCATTGTGTGCCACAGAGGCTCACAGAAAAGAAGCCGAGAACGACACTTTGCGTGAGAGATATTTACTAGGACATTGTTCTCCCTGTTAGTGTTTGCTCTTTGTTAGCAAGGGTGGGGGGACCCTCTTATATTCAGAAATAGATCCTGCAAAATAAAGTGGTGCAGTATAATGGCCAGTATAATAGGTTTTGCTGTGATCACAACTGAGACGTTGCATAGTGTATGTAGGCACAGTTTAATGCAAAATCCATTTCTGACAGTGTAATTCCCCCTTTTTTAAAAAAAAAGGAAAGGAAAATACTTTGCTCCTCTGTAGGTTTATTCTTGCTTTATAATGAGCACAAAGAAATCTTTACTTGATTTATTTTCCCAACACATGCTCAGGTTTGAATTCTCCCTCTAAAATAAATCAAGCTCTCTACAGAAACTTTCGCTTTGACTCATCAATTAAGAAAAGAAGGGGAGGAAAGCCACAGCAACTGCTCTAATTGTTGTGAACGCCTAATAAGCATGATCCATATAAGAACACAGATTTTAGGGTGCATGTGGTTTTCCTTTTGTTTTGTCTGAGATAGAGGATAAGCTGAGGAAATATTGTTGCAATACTATATTGGGAACAGAGGAGGCATTTGCTGGGTCCATATTGCAAAGTAGACTCACATGATCAATATATTCTGGAGTGATTTGCTGATCTGAATGTAGTCCTTATTTGGAATCCTTATTTGTGAATTACATTAGGTAGCGTGTATACACAGGGTTGGCTCAAGACATCTTGCTGCCTGAAGCAAAGGACAAGATTGTGTCCCCTTCCCATTCCAGACACAGAGCGGCAGCTGAATCCTACTTCAACTCTGGTGATGGGATAGAATGCAGGTTTAGGTAGCCCAGGACGGGATGCATAGCACACTCAGATCTGTCTTCCAACAGAGGGGATGACTGGAGGTCTTAGGAGGAACACCCAAGAGGCTGCTTCTGACCCCGCGACTCTGACACTTTAGGCCTCACTTTGCCTAATGGTAGGGCTGCCCCTGGGTGTATATATTGTTACAAGCCATCCCAATCTCTGAGCGGTGCAAGATTCCAGGGGTTCCAGGTGCACTTACCAGGGTTTGTGTATCCTTTTGGAAAACATGAGGGACAGAGGGGACTGTGGTGCCTTTATGATATATGGTTTGTTTACATATATATACAACCTGCACTTAGATGGAGAGTATGCAGAACTTTCGCATCCCTTCCATTGCTGCAGCCCCCATTTCAAAGAGAACCCAACCATTGTGTCTGACCCTCTGACTAGCTGATCAGTAGCGCCTGTAAGCCCTCTTTGACCCAGCCACACCTTTACCTGTTCCTGACATCATATATTACAGTGGGCCACAGGTTCTGAACCTTGTGCTAGGGCATGGGAGCATCTGAAATAAGCCTAGAATTCGACTGATATTACTGAGGTACTTCCTTTTTTGTAGGCTATTCCTAATGAATCTGTCTTGCTGTGCAAAGGCATAAAAACCGTGAACAAAGAAGCAGATAGGCTCCTATCTTAACAAAGGTAAGGAAAAGCTAATCTCTATTAATTTGTTTTTCAAAAAAGAAAAACTTTTCTCAAGGGCCTTAAGTGACAGGAAAGAAACTTTTTTTGTAAGAGGAGCTGAATTTTAAGAATAAATTTAAAAGTTAAAGTGCACCAGATTAATCACCACCCTTGTAGCTCATTTGCAGAAGCACTGAAGCAGCCTACAAAGCTTATACTAATCTGTTTTCAGTCCCGGTATCTTCATTTCTTACAAATTAAATATATTCAGTGTCAATGCAGAATTAAGGTTTTTTTATGTGTATGAAATGAAGGAAGGAAGGAAGGAAAAAAACTGTATGGAGGAATTTATAACACTGTTTTCCTGCAAGCTATCAGAAATATATATATATATATTTATCAGCATTCATTCTCCCAAGCCCCCTCCTGCATTTTCTGACTTGATTTGACGCTAAAGCCACTGAATAAGGTCTGAATTTTCACGAGCTGGAAGCATTATAAATTGCAGTGTTAACAAATGCCTGGACCTGAAATGAACTGAGCCAAATTAGATACAGACCTAGGTTGGATCCAAAGCACTTTGGAGTTACTGAGAGCTTTTCCATTGACCTTTGTTAAAACCTGGTGCAGCTTCAGTAGTTTTAATGGGGTTGGAGTTGCTGCAGAATAACTGCGTTCTCATTCATATGAACTCATGCAATTCTCTTGCTAGGGGTAGCACAATAGATAATGAAAGGCAATGAAGGCCAGTCCTAATGGGGCTCTTTTCTGTATTATAGTAGGAATCATGCACCAGAGTAGCCCATCATCTTAGGGTAATTTGGGGGTGATTATTTTACCTGCTTTTTTTTAAAGTCTACAGGATGGTTTCAATACTTTAATTTGAATTAGTCCGGCATCTTAAGTTACAACAGGTGTGGGGAATCTTCAGTCCTCTAGATGTTGCTGAATTACAACTCCCACCATCCTCAGCAAGCCTGACCAATGACCAGCAATGATGAGAATTGTGGTTCAGCAACATCTGGTGGGCCAAAGAGTCCCCACGCCTGATTTACAATCTCCCGACACAACATCCTTATTGCCATGTTTTATTCTCACCAAATATACAAATTGTCGCTTTGCTGTTTTTCGTAAAATTATCTGAAGGAGAAAATTGTCATGCAAACCATTTGTGACCTTGAGGTTGATCCTCAATGCTGTCAAAAGGGAAATAAAAGACCTTTCATCTAAAGTCTACCACTTTTTTTTAAGCTGAATCATTTGGTTCTGATCTTTCTTTCTTTCGACAGGGCAGCCTGATCCTGGCCCAGCCTCATCTACACCAACCGAAGGCATGGCAATGGCTTTGCTAAGACCTTTCTGAAACTGTGGAAGTTAGCTTGGGAAATATGTTATTGTATTCTGTGGTGACAGATAATAATTGTACCTGAAACCCTGTAATGATAAGACAATACAGATAGCTTTTCCATTCAGGAGGTTGTTTTTATATTAGATACAGCTTTTGGGTGGGAATTGACATTGGGCAGGATCTCCAGTTGGGAAAGTGGAGATCAGTTCCCAGCTTCCCATTATTGGATCCCCTTAAGGGATGTGGAATGCCGCCCCAAGTCCAGATGCCCTAGCTTGGAGGAGGACAAGTTGGATGGGGGCATCCCCAGTTGTTTCCAAGGGTTACCTAAAACTGGTCCATACTTTGGGCCACACAGACTTGGAGGCAGATGACTTACTCATCACACAGCAACTGGGGTATACAAGCTGATCCTTCCCCAATGCCAAGCCAAACCCTCCTGGGCTATTGTTAACCAACAAATGTGACCTTGCTTCCAACCATTTAAATCTGTTGTTTGATTATTTCTCCGCACTCCACCCTTGGCTTTTTGTTGTACCCAGATCTGCAGTTCATATTGTGAATGACGGGATAGATATATGGCTTTTTAGTCAATTTGATAATACATTACCTGTTCAAAGACCTAAAAGAGGAACATTCCTTTAGGTGTTCTATCTATACTCAGCTGCATATAAATAAGCTTGGATCTGTGGTGTCTAGGCTGTGAAACTGGACAGCTGATCAGCCACCTTATTTCAAGCAGATGGGCACTGTTTGTTTTGGTACTGCTGCTACAGCTTGCCCAAGTAGTGTCTACCATGATAGAAAATAACTTGGACTTCAGAGTGACTCATTGTGCCATAATAAACTTTTTTAGATGTTATGCCATGCTTAAATGGAAAATCCCCCCATCTACTAAAGAAAAAGAAAAGATGGAGAGAGCTGATTTGTTTTTAGAAAAGTATCTCAGTGTCCATTTGGTTTTCCCTTTCCCTTGTGTGGAAGAGGATCCACCTGCGAGTTGATGCCATCGATGTGGAAATGGGGCAAACTGAAAATAGTTTTAAAATGAGAAACCAAGAGAACCCAAAATTTACAGATTCGTCCAGCTGGCGCTTGTGGCAATGGATGATGCAGATCTAAGATGGCAGCTTTCCATGGTTCTAACCTGGTCTGAATCCACTGACCACCCCTTTGTAGCAATAAGTTAGACTAGAATTCAAGTGTTTGCTTCAGTCATTTAATGTCATTCACCAGCTAATGTCATTCATTCCAGCTATTTACATGAATCCAACTCCTCTTTTGTCATGACTGCTTTATTCAGGATTGTAACCTGCATCTATTCCTGAAAAGCCAACATTAATAAGGTCAAGGGAAAGCCAGTTACTACTGACCATTTCTTTCTTATGAATGTTTGAGTCACAGTAATTAATTTGGGGTAGGCAAAGTTTTAAATGTTTTTGCTTTTAATTATCTCTGAGGCAGCATTCATTATGGAAATGAGCTACAATTATTTCAGCTTCTTTCCTCCCACCAGGTTTCCAGATTACATAAAACAGTTGCATACCTAAGAGAGACAGGCATCTTTTCAAATCCTGCATTATACATGTTACACTAAATGTCACAAATGGTTTCACTGCAATATTAATGAAATTCAGCTGGGAAAGCCATTAGAGTTGTATTTCACACCTGTACAGAACATCACTTAAAATCAGAACTATTTAGCTGAGGGTGGTTGTGTTTTTTTTAAAGCTTCTTTGGATTCTGTACAGTATTCCAAAGAAGTTTCTGCTTTTTTAAAACAGTTGTTCAGTTAAGGCACGTTGTGATGGGTCCAGAGTCTAGTCATGATCAGCCAAGAAGGTTCTCTCTCATACAGATCTAACTTGTAGATGGCTTTTAACTAAACAGTTTCCCCTTGCGTATGGGAACTATTGCAGAGTAAGGAAAGGCATGCACATGTGTGGAATTAATACATTATTTTTTTTGCTAGGAAGAGTTTGGATTTGATACCCCGCTTTATCACTACCCGAAGGAGTCTCAAAGCGGCTAACATTCTCCTTTCCCTTCCTCCCCCACAACAAACACTCTGTGATGTGAGTGGGGCTGAGAGACTTCAGAGAAGTGTGACTGGTCACCCAGCAGCTGAATGTGGAGGTCACCCAGCAGCTGAATGTGGAGGAGCGGAGACGCAAACCCGGTTCCCCAGATTACGAGTCTACCACTCTTAACCACTACACCACACTGGCTCTCATTTATATAGATACAGAAGCCAGCATTTTGTAGGTTCAAACCTGGCAACTGGCAATTATTGCTAGAGAGGGTTTTTTTTTAAAGTGCATATTATACAATTTGCATATACTCAATCAAGGCTGATTAAGGTTTGCTTGAACACTTCTGAGTACCCATAATAATGTGCCTCTTTGAGTGAGTGAATGAATATGGTATATGTATAAGGAGACAGTGTAGTGTAGTTGTTTGAGCAAGAATGATGGCATCTGGTAGATGCTGCTGGGTTATAATTTCCATCGCCCCTGAGTAGGACCTCAGAGTGGCTATTTCTATTGGCTATACTGGCTATTTACATTACATTTTCTTGGAAATCCCACCCACACGCTCATTCAACATTTGATTTGCTCCTTGTCCTGCCATCCTTGCACACTTTCTTTGAAATGAATTCCAGTGTGACTTATTTTTGTGTAAACATGGATCTGACTGCACAGTTAATTACCAAGGTACTGGCAACCATCCACTGCCTTTCCGCTTTTCCATATTATTGTTGATATCTTTTGCATTTGGGATTGCATAGAACTCTTTGGAGGCACTCATGATAGATATTCATTTGAGGGGATTTGTCGGAACAGCTATATACTTTGCCTTGCAAACAGCCTTGCTTTAATTTACTATATTTTCCCCCATACTGCAGCATTTACTGGACACATTTACTCAGAGAAACACTTCGCATTCATTGCTATTAGTTCCTGGCTTATATTCTTCTTCTTTTCAATGGTGCTTTAAATTTGTTATGGATAATTTTTATGTGGCAGCAAATCAGACTTCAAGGACAGATGCCGACTTACCTACCTTTTGTTGCCATTTTATTTTATGCCAGTATCATCCATTTATTTTATATTGGCTGGCATGCCAGCCACTTGCCACTATTAATGAATATGCTGCTGGATCTCAGAGCAGAAGCTGGCAAAATCTATATTAATGTTTAAGAGGATGTATAAACACAGTAAATTTTAATGCATGAAAAATGTCGGCATCCTCATTTTCACTTTTATGCTTGATCTTTTCATCTAGATGACATTCCTCATTTTTACTCATAAAGTCGCTTTGATAAAATGCAGGGATATTCAGCAGGAAAACAAAGAGTGAAAACATTATGACTTCTAAAAGGAGTCATTATGCTTTCTATAAATGTGGACCTTTCCTTTTTTTCCTTGGGAAAATGGGGGTTGCTTCAGAGGTTCTTACCAGATGTCTGCAGGAAGCCTGAAAGCAGGACTCAAACGCAGGTCCATGGAGGAAGAGCATAGCCATCATGGCTGGTAGCCATATCCTCCATTAATTTATCTAATCCTCTTCTAAAAGCACCCAAGTTGGTGGCTGTCAATGTCTCTTGTGGGAGTGAATTACATAGTTCAGCTAGAATTGTGCTGTATCAGTGTACACAACAAACACAAGAGGCCGCCTTATTCCAGGCCAAACTATTTGCCCATCAAGCCTGTGATTTCTACTCTGACTGGCAGCAGTTCTCCAAGATCTCAAGCAGAGATCTCTCCCAACATTTGCTATCTGATCCCATTGGCAGGAGAGGTGAGAGGACTGGAACACTGGACAGCCAATGAAGCTGAGTGTTGTAAGATTCAGGATGAATAAACAAAAGTACTTATTCACACAGCACATAGTTAAACCATGGAACTCCCACAGGAGCAGTGCTCTTTTTCAACTGGAGCACAGTTCCAGCACCTCTCAGGTGGGCGCCATTGTGGGCCGGTGCTCCCTCCACCAACTTCATGCCTTTACATACTTCTGAGAAGCCCAAAACAAACATTTCAAGTCAAAATGGAAGCTGGCCACCATGTGCGAGTCTGCACTTTCTTTAGATCTATGACTCCACCTAGCTCCTAGCTGCTTCTAGCAGGGATTGGCCAAGCTAGGGGGTGGGCCCAATTCATATTTCATTTTCTTCAATCCATCTCCCATGTAGTACTGGCAGGCTTTCAGCTTTCCAGCCAGGCATATACAAAGTATTTGCATGAGGGCCCTTCTGAGCTTCCCTAGCCATCCGCCTGAATCTAAGAGAACGAGGCAGGCGGGTGCACATTTATTTGACCTGCACCAGAACCAGGGGTGACCCCCAAACCAGCTCGGGTGACAGCTTGCCATACTTTGTAGCACCTCTGTGGGCAGTGAATGTGGCTGTTGTCAAACCAGCATCTGTTCAGAGCTGTTCAGAGCTGCCCTGAGTCACCTGGCAATTTACTGTAACTATTTCATGGTGAGTTCTGCATAGGAGTCAGTGATGGCAAACAACTTGGATGGCTTTAAAATATCAGACAAATGCATGGAGAAGAGGCCTATTGGTGATTACTAGCCATGATGACTATGTTCTACTTCCATAGTTGGATGCTTCTGAATACCAGTTGCTGGAAACCACAGGAGAGAAGAGTTCTCCTGCCTGTGAAAAACCCTTCAAGGACAACTGTTCAGGCAGTGTGAGAACAGATGTGCCACTGGCTTGATCCAACAGGTTCTTTTTATGTTCTTATGTTCTTTGAAGCATGTGTGCAATAAAAGGACCCCTGACTGTTAGGTCCAGTCACGGATGACTCTGGGGTTGTGGCACTCATCTTGCTTTATTGGCCAAGGGAGCCGGCGTACAGCTTCTGGGTCATGTGGCCAGCATGACTAAGCTGCTTCTGGCAAACCAAAGCAGTGCACGGAAACACCTTTTACCTTCTCGCTGGAGCGGTACCTATTTATCTACTTGCACTTTGACATGCTTTCGAACTGCTAGGTGGGCAGGAGCAGGGACCGAGCAACGGGCGCTCACCCCGTCACAGGGATTCGAACCAGTGACCTTCTGATCGGAAAGCCCTAGGCTCAGTGGTTTAGACCACAGCACCACCCGCGTCCCTCCCTAAAACCCTAAAAGATCCTGGGGTGACTGCTGGACTAGCAGCTCATAAAATAAAAGCAAATAACCAGTAAAATAGCATAGATAATTTGCAGGTGGAGGGGGAAGAGACTCCTCAACATGCTAACTGGAACGCTCTAGTTAAAGCTATTAATCGATGGTGGCTCCATCTGTAGTATGTGACTGGGTGCAGAAGCTGTAGCACATGAGTAGTAATAAAATTAAGATTTTGACTGTGTGTGTGTGTTCTGAGGAGTCCAAACATATTCAAGTAAAAAAGCTGAATTGGCTTTGCTTATGCATAGCTAGATGAGTTCTAATTAAGGTCCCCCCCCCCCCCGCTTCATCATGCAGACTATTAAGGAGACATAAAGTATAACCCCCGCTAACTGTTCATCAGAATGCTTCTTCATAAATGAATAATTTATTTATTTTTACTTCAGAATCCATTTGAGTCACACATTTAGGAGCTTCCCACCTATCTCTCACATCCATTAATACTCCATCTCAATGAAGCAAACACGGCATTCTTTGATAGTATTTTTACCAAAAGGTACTAGTACGCAAGCTGAAAATTCCATAAAGAAATGTGAGTGGGTCTATAGTATGGTGTCTTATAAAAGAAGAATGAATAGTCTTGGGCATCTGGTGGAATCTTTATGACTTGACCCTTGTACAAAAATACGAACACAGAAGAAGCTAGAGATGAGGTTACAAGCCTTCTGTGAACATGCAGCTTTTGAGGTCCCTGACAGTAATTCATGCATGACATTTCTTAGTTTATATTTGGGGTTCTATGATAATCTGCCAGCTTCGATTGTTGACATGGATATTGCTAGTCTAGTGGTGTGGAAAATTACCCTGATTTTTCCTGCTGCCTAATGTGATCTGATTTACTTCCCATTTTGAAAAGAAAATTGGTGACTGAATGGGCAGAAAGTGCACAGGTTGAAAGCAGCATGGAGTTGTGCATCAGAATGTGCATCAGGGTGCAAACATCTGCCAGCCCAGCATTATTCCTGCTGGGATGTCCCTTCTGATACACATTCAAATGTGAATTCCACATCTAGTGAAACTAGCCACTATGCTGCTGTAATGTTTGTACAACTATATTTTCAATGGGAAAGGAACCAAGAGCCTACATGTGTAGAAGTTGTCCAGAAAACTACAGATATCAGAGACACTCCATGGACTTCTTCTTGCTATCTGAGAGCATAGTAGGCAAAATGGAAAAATTCACAGGGACAGGTTTCATGCCTCCCTAATTTATGATCCTGTGTTTACCATTCGGTTAAAAAAATTGCTGATGATGTCTGTAGGAAAATGTCATGCTTATCCGCGTCTCTTCCCAGTGCACTCATCCATTCACCCTCTGAATCCCCTGAGAACAACTGCAAACTAAAAATTCATCTCAAAATGTCGCCAGTCAGGAAAGCAATGCTTAAAACATGATTTTTCTGTGATTTCCTTTTCAGTTTGCCATCTCCTTGGTTGATCATGTGGATCTCATAGGTATTCAGCATTTTTTGCTTCCTCAAGTGGAAAGTCCATATTTACTGTTGGGGATGAGTGTCCAAATATTTATCACCAGATTCATGAAAATTAGCAATGGGATAAGCTTCAGAGTGAAGCCAGATGTGCTTGTCCTTTGCTTTAATCTTTCTTGGCTGTAGTTTTTCTCTTAAGGAGGACCTGACTGGGTCAATGGCTCTCAGATTTGTTCTCATATTTGACGTTATGAAGTCACAGTTAGGTGTCCTTGGCCACAATGCTATCAAAATTTACCTTTGAAGTATGTCCCATTGAGGTACGCATAGATAGACATGCCCTGTTTAGTCTCTGTTTTCATAAATGCATCTTGATGTTGTAAAGTCTGCAGTCAAGAACTTCAAGATTTCAAAAAAGTCCCTTCAAATGCTAAAGTTCTCCAATATCCATGACAGGGAACTCTGGCAAGGGGACCAATTGTAGCCCTCCAGGATTCAGTATCATTCAGCCCTTGGGACTCTCACAAGGCGCATCCACTCCACAAAGCACACCCCTTTGTTCCAGGCTGCACCACTCTTTGGCCCTGCTCTGTGGCCTCCTTGGGTCCATTTCCTGGCAGGGATGTATCCTTAAACTGTGACAATGTCTCCTGCTTGCCTGGATGGAGGTGTTTGTGTGTAGAAACCTCTGGCTTTTATGTGGCTGGGATGTAGCCAACTGTACAAATGTAAGAGTCACAATTATTGCCTCTGGCCTTGCACACCGCAGCATGTGGTACCCAGAAGACTGTTCACAAGGGCATGCTGCCCTTAGGCTGGAGAAGATTCCCTACCCCCAGTCTAGGGTCTTGTTCTAAAGAAATTCCACCGGGGGAACAGAATTATGATGGTAAAAATACAAAAATAGAAAAGGGGGGGGGAAGAATGGGAGAAGTAGGCCTGAATTTCTCTGCATTCCTGGTGATGCACATGTAAGAAGATGATGAAACAATAACAGGAGTATATTCCTTCTTTTTAATGACTGAGATCCCTTGCAAAATTTAGCTCCGAGGCATTGATAAATCTGTTACGTGTAAAATTTCTATCATTATACAAATTCTTCCCTCTAAGTAAATAGGAATTTCTTCCCCATTCATCACTTTTCAAAGCATTAACCTTTCTACCATTCCCTGAGTTGACTTGCAATATGGGATTTACTCTAATGATTTATGTATCGCATGGTAACATGTTCAGAGAAAAACCTGCTTTTACCCACTAACCCTTGAGCCATTTTAATTTGTACCTTTTGTAGAGTTTCCAGAAAACACGTCTGTTGCTCTTTAACAAGTTCATAGTAACGCCAATATTTTCAAGGAGATAACGCTACCACATTACTGATCTGCTTATTTTACATATAAACCATCAAATCTGACTTCTAAGCCAGGCTTTGAATTTATAGAACATTATTAATATGGGTAGGGAGAATTTGACAGATTGGGCACATGGGATTTTAGAGACTAGTTGGCTTCATTAGTTTTTTTAATGAATTGAATAAAGAACTGCCATTGTAGAAGGAGCTAAGCTTAGGGCCAGTTCACACACACCTCTGGAACACACCTGCTGTTTTCTGTGCAATTGTGTCTGGACCCCAGTTGTTTAGAAAAACAATGTACAATAGGCTATGGAATCAGCAGAGATTGCTGTGATCCTGGCCATGTGTTTTGAAGTTGCATTTTTTGGTGTTATGGCAATCTTGAGTACATTCATGTACAGTGGTACTTCGGGTTAAGTACTTAATTCGTTCCGGAGGTCTGTTCTTAACCTGAAACTGTTCTTAACCTGAAGCACCACTTTAGCTAATGGGGCCTCCTGCTGCTGCCGTGCCGCCAGAGCACAATTTCTGTTCTCATCCTGAAGCAAAGTTCTTAACCTGAAGCACTATTTCTGGGTTAGCGGAGTCTGTAACCTGAAGCGTATGTAACCTGAAGCGTATGTTACCTGAGGTACCACTGTACCTCCAAGTCACAAAGCTACATAGAAACCCCTGATAAAATGGAGTTAAAGCCCCTTGGGGGAGGGGATTTTGATGCACACTGCCTCCCTGAATTTGAAAGGGGTGTACACAAGAATCCCATTCTAAAATGGACATTCCCTCCCCCCATGATTCTAGATGAGGATTCCATGCCAACCTGCACACGTTGAAAGTCACCTGTGTGATACTATACACATGACTCTTCCTCTTTATGGGAGAGGGAAATCAGTGCATAACAACCTGTGTCAATGTTGAATACAAGTCTGTTTACAGCATGGATACACATTGGGAAGCCATTGTAAAGAATGAGTTACCAGTACTGGTAACCAGTACATGTTGGAGGGATGCGAGTGGCGCTGTGGGTTAAACCACAGAGCCTAGGGCTTGCCAATCAGAAGGTTGGCGGTTCGAATCCCCATGACAGGTTGAGCTCCCGTTGCTCGGTCCCTGCTCCTGCCAACCTAGCAGTTCGAAAGCTCGTCAAAGTGTAACTAGATAAATAGGTACCGCTACAGCGGGAAGGTAAACGGTGTTTCCGTGCGCTGCTCTGGTTTGCCAGAAGCGGCTTAGTCATGCTGGCCACATGACCCGGAAGCTGTACGCCAGCTCCCTCTGCCAATAAAGCGAGATGAGTGCTGCAACCCCAGAGTCGGCCACGACTGGACCTAATGGTCAGGGGTCCCTTTACCTTTTACGAGTACATGTAGGAAAGGAATGAGAAAACAGTGGTTCTCCAGATGTTGCTTGATTCCATTTCCCATCAGCCTGAACAAACATGGGCTATAGTCAGCGAGTTGCATTAGATCTGGAAGGCCACAGGTAAGCCATCCCAACTGAAGGGGAAAAGGAAGCAAGCTCAGTTGGAAGAGCATGAAACTCTTAATCCCAGGGTCATGGGTTTGAGCCTCACATTGGGCAAAAGTTTCCTGCATTTCAGGGGGTTGGACGAGATGACCCCTTTGTTCCCTTCCAACTCTACAAGTCTATGATTCTGGTAGCTCAGTGGAGCTCATTTGGCTTATCTATAGATTTTTCACCTTGAAGCTTTAACTGGGGTAGAAACATGAAAAATTCTACATAATATATTCATGTGGTCAATATATCCATGTTCTCCATTCATCACAGTCTATGCAGGTTGTTTCTCCCACACGTGAATGAAGTCAGTGACCCTAAGAAACAAATAAATGGCAGAGCAGCAGCTTCTGAAGCCATTGAATCATTACTAATCAATTCATCTTGTGTGTGCCATTAAAATGCCAGGATCAACATGTGTTAAGTTTTGTACACATTACTTCTTACTACTTATTCTCTTTAAATAAATTGAAGGTCAAGGATAAATTATAAATAAGAGTCTAATTATTATTTTGCATCATTATGCCCCAGTTTGATTCTTGATTTTAACCTTCATATTCACATGGGGTTAACCTAACACAGATTATTTGCTGAGCTCATAACTTTTCAATTTATTACTGGCATAACAACATCTGCATTCCCTCCTTTAAGAGAGTTGCACTTGAATCATCCTTGAGGAACTGCAAGATAAAGCTGAGCTAGGCTTCCTGGGCCTTTTGTCTTTCGCCAGCCTTCTGGGAAATGACATATTTCAAACTCTTGTTTCCATAATGCACAGTAGAAGACAAAGTATTCTCATAACACCCTTAAATGTAAATTTGCAAAGGCTACAAATGAGCAACTGCCTTTAGCATTCAAATGAAATGCTGAGATTCACAATAAAGCCCCTTGAGCTTTGTCTTCAAAAGTGTTCTGCCCCAGTATGTGAATAAATGCTTGGAACTTTCCTTAATTTCTCCATGTTTTGGTTTCTTAATTATTATTATTATTATTTAAATGTTCCTTTTGTGGCATTGGTAATAACCACTTTTGAGGAAAGGAAATTCTATGTTGGTGTAGCATTTTTTCATAAACATTCTGCATAATGTTATAGCCACTGTGATTTAGCTCAGCACTTAGGTTTCTCAACAAGGCGGGGGGGGGGGAATGCCCCTCTTACACCGCACAGCTAGCAACATTACGTACTCGACTCTTCGTGACCCCATGGACCAGAGTATGCCAGGCACTCCTGTCTTCCACTGCCTCCCGCAGTTTGGTCAAACCCATGTTTGTAGCTTTGAGAACACTGTCCAACCATCTCGTCCTCTATCGCCCCCTTCTCCTTGTGCCCTCCATCTTTCCCAACACCAGGGTCTTTTCCAGGGAGTCTTCTCATCTCATGAGGTTGCCAAAGTATTGAAGCCTCAGCTTCATGATCTGTCCTTCCAGTGAGCACTCAGGGCTGATTTCCTTCAGAATGGATAGGTTTGATCTTCTTGCAGTCCATGGGACTCTCAAGAGTCTCCTCCAGCACCATAATTCAAAAGCATCAATTCTTCGGCGATCAGCCTTCTTTATGGTCCAGCTCTCACTTCCATACATCACTACTGGGAAAACCATAGCTTTAACTATACGGACCTTTGTTGGCAAGGTGATGTCTCTGCTTTTTAAGATGCTGTCTAGGTTTGTCATTGCTTTTCTCCCAAGAAGCAGGCGTCTTTTAATTTCGTGACTGCTGTCACCATCTGCAGTGATCACGGAGCCCAAGAAAGTAACATCACTCACTGCCTCCATTTCTTCCCCTTCTATTTGCCAGGAGGTGATGGGACCAGCGGCCATGATCTTAGCTTTTTTGATGTTGAGCTTCAGATCATATTTTGAGCTCTCCCCTTTCACCCTCATTAAAAGGTTCTTTATTTCCTCCTCACTTTCTGCCATCAAAGTTGTGTCATCTGCATATCTGAGGTTGTTGATATTTCTTCCAGCAATCTTAATTCCGGCTTGGGATTCATCCAGTCCAGCCTTTTGCATCATGAATTCTGCATAATTTAAATAAGCAAGGACTTATATGGGCACTTAAGTCCATTAATTTCTTTTCTTTCGCTGACACATCCACACCAGACCATTCAGGCAGAACATGAGAGCTTGTTGAATTTCCCACTGCTGCTCACACCTTCAGCCACTGTAGCCTGAGGCTGTGCCTTTGGCATGTGCCTTTCTCTGTGACCAAATGTGTGCATAAGAATGCACCTAGGATGTACTTGGGGATTTAGAAACTAGTTAAAGTGTGTGTGTGTTTCGTGCTTGGTGCTTTTAGTTCCAAGGATGTATCAGTGTTCGTTTTAAATTATTTCAGTGTTTTATTAGAATAAAAACATTTTGTTCGGGTGGCTTTCCCATTAATTTCCGTATTCTGAGCTGGTGCTGCTTTAATTATCTGCTCTGCTGCTGCTTCACTCTAATGCTTAATTGTTGCTTGTTTTATTGCACTTTGAATGTTGTTAGCCACCTTAAGCACTCCTTGGGTAAGTGAAAAGGTGGGATGATGATGAAGATGAAGATGATGGTGATAACAGTAGGTCTAAGAACCTGATTGCATGCATGAAACTTCAATTGAAATGAATGAGACAAGCCCAGCCATGCGGCTGTCAGCTGAGCATATGTCAGCTGAACTCTTCTATAGTTAGGGAAAGTGAGGCATTATAACCTGAGACGTTGAAGAGATATGAGGGGGGAAGGTTTGATGCAGCTGAGGTTGAGTCCTAAAAACTGCTCTCCTTCACAAACGGGTTAATTTTTCCTCTCTCAAGGAGTCCATGACTGTGCAGCAGTATGGGTCAATGTGGTTGCACCAGTAGTTGCTAGCACGCCAATATTCAACACAATGGTGTTGCAGACTTTTTTTTAATCCAGCTGTTTTAATCGCTTTTCCAACCCTTCAGTCAGAGGGAGTGTGCTTCTGCATGCCAGTTGCCGAGTGTGGGGTGGGTCTTGCCATCTGGGCAGTCCAGGACCTCCATACACTCTGCCTAGATGTGCCCTGTCACTTCAGTGCTATTAATACAACTGATTGATTTCCCCACTCAGAGGCAATGGCAAAGCTGCTTGCTCCGCTACCGGAGGTGGAGAGCAGGTGGGGGCATGGCTGGCACCCCTGGGGGGCGTGACGTGCACCCCAGGGATGTGGCACGCCGACCGCGGGGGCATGCCGCACATCCTGGGGGCGTGGTACACCACCTGCAAGGATGTGGCATGGTGCACTGCCCACATTTGCGTGGCGCCCGGTGTGCGGGGGTGCGTGGTGCGTGTTGGGAGGCCCGCCGTGATGACACCCTACTGAAATTGTGGTGCCGGGGTCGGTCCGCTCCCTCCGCCCCCCTGTTCCTCCGCCAGTGCTCAGAGGCACAGTTAATTGTCTTTCAAGACAGACGGAGGCCAACATAATGGCTTTACAGCATTGTGTCCAACACTAGCCCCTCTTAAAGTAGTCCCATTGAAATTGGCTCATGCCCATTAATTTCAGTAGGTTTGCTCTAAGTGCAAAGCAAGCCAATCAGGAGCCTGGGGCGGCGCGCGTGCCCGGTGCCTGGGGGTGGGGCCAGCCACCTGTAGGGCGGGGCCAGCTGCGGCAGCATGCTCTGGGGGGGGCCTCTGAGGAGTCTGCCTGCCTCCTCCCACTCAGCTGCCCTACACGGCCATTTGGGGTGGTTCAAAGCCTGCGCGCGCCCAAGCCACTGCGACTCTCTCAGGAGAGACGCATGGCTCGGGTGTACTGCAGGCGTTGTGGTGAGTGCCGCCCAGCATTTTGTCACCCCTCAGAGGTGACACCTGGGGCGGCCCACCCCTACCACATCCCCTTCCTCCGCCCCTGTCTACGTGGAACTTAGTTGAATGCAAACCATACTTTGTAAACTGCTAATAAACCTATTTTGTCATTAAGCAGTATATTAACGAACAAATAACTAACTACGTACAACAATGCTTATTTGGACTGCAGCAGACAGAGTCCACTACAAGAACTTGCTCCAGTTGTCAGGTTTAGAATCCTATCACACCCATCCAAGTTAAAGCTATTTTGCATGGCTTTGCAGAGAAATGTATACAGTCTTAGGGCTTCTCAAGTTTCAAGGAATAAATCGTAGAGAAGGAAATGGTTATAAAAACATACCTATAAAAATATACATAATGGTGATATCAGGCTTTTCAGAATTTCAAACTGCTGACTTTCTAAATCTTTTACACATGAAGAAAGAAAGAGGAATAAAGTAATCCCTAGATAGGTGGCCAACTCAATTGTTTCAGGTGAAGTACTTGGATTTAATCAGTATAGTTAATTGACTTCATTGGAACAGAATTAGTTCAAATGGTCCTTTAGCTTAACTGGGCTCTAGATCAATTATTCTAAAAGCAAGAGTTATTCCAATTATAGTAACTGGTTGCTGTGGTTTTCTTCCACCAAAATGCTACTCAAATTAAAAAAAAGAAAAGAAACAAAACACTACTAAAATGTTTAGGGGCCAAATAAATAGACAACATAGGATTTAATACACACTGATGACCTTCCTACTCCTCATAATAGTTTTAACACCTAGGACACTACCTATTTGCTGTAAATAAGCTGCTTCATACATTGATTATGGAGCTCTAGGGACATAAACACCTCATATATAAACCTGATGGACATTTCTCAGCTACTTCTAGCACAGCTTTTGTTGAGATATCTCTGTTTTTATTTAATTAACCCTTAAGATTTGGTTCATTTTGAAACCCTACTGTGCAGTCACTCCTTTCAAATTCATTAAATGGCCTAGTTTGGAAAAACGTATTTGCTATATTTTGATCTTATAGTTTTTGTAAACAGCTCAGGGATTTTTTGGGCCAGAAATGTTAAATGTTATATAAACAAACAAGTAAGCAAGCAAGCAATGAATACAGTCGTATCTTTGTTGTCTAAGGCCCTGGAACTCGGACGTTTTGGCTCCCGAACCATCAAAACCTGGAAGTGACTGTTCTGGTTTTCAAACGTTCTTTCAGAAGCCGAATGTCTGACAGGGCTTCCACAGCTTCCAATTGGCTGCAGGAGCTTC